TATTCCCAAATCCGGAGACGATATCAGCGTTTAATTTTTTCTGAATCGATTTCTCAACCATGAATTGGCAAGAGAATTCCAATTAAGGGCCCCATACACTATACATCATGCCGTACAGCATTTATAATTGTATGTGTTATTTTTTGAAAGTTTATTTATTTATGTGTGACACACACAATGCATGAAGAAAATCAAAATAGATTTGATTTTGAAAAAGAACCCCTATCAATCTGGTGAATAATGTTCATTTTGAAAGTTGTCAGTAAATAATTTTGTGTACAAAAATAATAAAATTGTGCTGGAATAAAAAAACAACTGAATTTACGACTCAAAATGCAATTTTTGGGACAAAAATCGATTTTTTTGGAATAGTGATTGAAGAGTTTGCCATACACTAGTCAATCTCACATATACAAAAAGGGGTTCATCGGCATGACGGCATGATTTATAGTGTATGGGGCCCTTAACACTAGTGTCAGTCTGATATGTCGAAAAATGTAAACAAAACTAGTAAAAAAGTGTCAGTCGGCGTTGCGACAGATATATGTATACCCTCACCCTATGGATTGCGGAGATGTTGATTATTCGTGTGGGAGATACCAGAAGGAGTGGACCAATGGATCCCATCTTCAAACTTGATCTAGGCTTGGTAAAGGTAATAGGCTGTACAAAGTTTGGTTCAAATCGGCCATTCCATTTGCCTGATATTGGATCTATAAATATTCAAATTTTTGACCCTTTGTAGGGAAGGTACCAGAAGGAGTGAACCAATGGATCGCATCTTCCTACTTGATCTAGGCTTGGTAAAGATAATAGGTTGCACAAAGTTTCATTAAAATCGGATAGTACGTTTAGATATTATTATAAAATTAATTTTTATCACAATTTTGACCATTTTGTGGGGGAGGTAAGAGAAGGAGTGGACTGATATTCCTCATCTTCAAACATAAACTAAGTTTGGAAGAAATATTAAGATGTTCCCTACGAGAGATATCGTGCGCACCAGCCAGACAGAGGTACAACGGATGGACGTCTATGTGTAAATAGATTCCAAATTTTCTGAAACGGATTTGGTCCAAAGAAACATGGAAACATATTTCGATGAGGCATATTTTCACCGTATCGAAGTGTATATACCCTCATTAGCGCTAAGGCTAACGATATAAATACAAAATATCAATGAATATCTTTTTTTTAATGTATTTTTTTTTAATTTTCAGAATAAAATTGAAAATCATGAGTGAAAATCTTGCAAATTTATAATTTTAAAGTTCCAAATCTTCCCCCAATTAAGTCAATGTCATATGTAGAGGTAACTCCATGGTAATATTATGGAAGGTAACAGCAAGTGTTGTTGTACAACAATACAAAAAATAAACACAAAGAAATGTTTCAGAACAACACAGGGCGCAAATCGGTGGGCCTGATTGGGCAAGCAAATATGTGGTTTGTGTCATGTGGAGTGCTGTGAGAGTTTGGACACTGATCGCATGTGATAGACATAATTCGCAACTGATAATTATTTAAGATGGTGTTACAACCAGATCTATGTTGAACTAGAGTTGTTCTAGTGAATCTGGGCAGGCGCTTTTCAGAGTCTCTGATTGCAGGGGGATGTTCGTTAAGGACTTTGTTTAAACAATATCCGACGACGATCCGTCGTTTCAGACCTGCATCTATTGACGATCAGGTGAGGTTGGATGTCTGGTCGGAAGTGTCTGATGACCTTCCGGATGTGTCGTGGAGGAGGATCCTGCACCACAATGTGATGGTTGAGGTGACTTGGCAGATGGCAGGCCAAAGGAACTGTCTGGCAAGCAACACATTTGGTCTGTTCCAGAACCTGCAAGAATGTACAACTTTTTACTTCGATAACAATTTTTCCTTTATGATATCGACAAAAATAGTAAAAATTAGTAGATTCTTGCAATACGGGAAGAGACCAATTATGTTGCTGTACTGACAGTGTTCTTGTCTCCTCATGAAGATGATCCACACTCGACATCTTGACACATCCGATAGCAATCCTTAGAGCACTGTTTTGGATCGTTTGAAGGTTGCACCATTGATTGTCACTTAGGAATGAAGTCCAAACGGGGCGGCATAGATAAAGGCGTCGCAAGATAAAGGTTACAGAGGATAGGACTAACGCAGCGACCACAGTCCGCGCTGGCGGTCGATTTTAGTTGAGGCCATTTACAATGTCTGTAGTTATAGGTGGAAAGGTGGAAATGAGCTGCAGAACCAAGGCTACGGCAAGGGGTGTGTGTATAAAATGTCGGCAGTGGCGGCCAAGAAAAAAGAAGAGAAGACAAAGAAAAAGTTTCATACGTAGAAAAACGTTGCTTTCGCTGTGGTGAAACAAGCCATAAAGCAGACCAATGCAATTTTAAAGAAGCAACATGTCATTATTGCAAGAAGAAAGGGCATATACGTAAAGCATGCTACATTGAAGACAACAAAAAAATAACAGTAGATGAAATATTACACATTGCGGAATCACAAAACCGGTCTACTCTACACAAGAAAATTACTTTGGAGTTAGAAGTTAACAAATGTGCTATACATTTTGAAATTGACACCGGTGCCCGAGTTTCCATCATAAATTTGGAAGACGCAAAAAAGTATTTCTCAAAAATTAAAGTAGAGAAACCAGACGTGGAATTAACTAGCTATTGTGGTTCTCAGTTAGAATGTGTTGGATACATATGGGTGAACTTAACGAACAAAAACAATGAAAAGTTGAAACTCTATATACTGCGATCAGATAAAAATCCGTTGTTGAGCACGGAGTGGTTAAGTAAAATTAAATTAGACTGGAATGAAATTATAAATAAAAATTTTAATAATACAGTTAACGTTATACAGTCTGTAAGCAGTCAAGCAGTTGAAAATTTAATGAATAAATATCCGGTGGTATTTTCTAAGACAGTTGGAAAAATAAAAGAGCTACAAGCCCGACAGTACTTAAAGCCCGATGTGCCACCCAAATTTATTAAAGCTCGACAAGTGCCATTCCCATTAATGGATGCGATAAATTCACAGCTAGAAGAACACGTGTCCGAAGGATTATTTGAAAAGGTGGAAGGTAGTGAGTGGGCTACACCAATCGTAGTTGTACCCAAGAAAGATGGCACTGTGAGAATTTGTGGTGACTACAAAGTCACATTAAACCCGGCTTTGGTAGTGGACGAGTACCCGTTACCCACTATTGAAGAGTTGTTCAGCAAAATGACTGGGGGTGAAAATTTTTCCAAAATTGATTTGTCAAGAGCGTATTTGCAGTTGGAAGTACACCCAAATGACAGACCATTACTTACACTAAGTACGCATAAAGGGCTGTACCAACTCACACGTATGATGTACGGCATAGCTAGTGCACCAGCCAAATTTCAGAGGCTCATGGAGCAGATTGTTGGTGATATTCCAGGAGTTTCCGTTTTTTTGGACGATATAAAAATCACAGCTCCTGACGACACCACGCACGTCGAGAGAATTGAGCTATTATTACAACGATTTACAAAATATAATATGCGAATAAATGTGGAAAAATCAGAATTTTTGAAAAATGAAATAATTTACTGTGGATATGTGATAAATAAAGATGGAATAAAGCGAATGGATTGCAAGGTAAAAGCAATACAAGAAATGAAAAAACCAACAAACAAGGATTAAGTTCGTGCGTTTTTGGGATTGGTAAATTACTACGGCAGATCCGTTAAAAATCTTTGCGACATTGTTTATCCACTAAACCGTCTACTTCAAAAAGAGGTGAAATTTCATTTTGACAAAGCCTGTGATGACGCGTTTAGTGAAACCAAGAAGCAGATGCAATCAAATACCATCCTGACACATTATGATCCAAAACTTCCAGTCTTGAGTCATGTATATGAAGATGGCTCTGAAAAACCCATACAGTTTGCGTCGGAAACACTTAATGAAACTCAGCAACGGTAGTCTCAAATTGACAGAGAAGCCTACACAATCATATTTGGAGTCCGTAAGTTTTATAATTATATGTATGGAAAAAAATTCTTCTAATTACAGACAATAGAGCTATTTCGCAAATTTTCTCTCCGAAGAAGGGTTTGCCTGTATATTCAGCAACGAGAATGCAACATTACGCCATATTTTTAGAACAATTTGATTATGAAATAATGTGCAAAAAGTCGAAAGAAAACGCAGAAGCAATGCCGAGACTACCATCAGCAGATACCTATGAATGCATCGATGAAGTTCATGCCATAGAAGAAGAAATTCTAGACACACACCCTTACAACAGAAGAGTTGAAGAAAGAGACACGAGTGGATGGAGAAGTAAGAACTTTAATAACATGTTTGGAGACGGTCGCGAGTGTGATTCCAAGGAGCGTTTCGGTGTTACACATACAGACTCCTCACTCCATAATGGTTCCTTACTACGTGGAATTAGAGTATACATACCAACGAAGCTTCGCGAACGTGTTTTAGATGAACTTCACTCAGCACATTTTGGCATAACACGCATGAAAAGTTTAGCGAGGGCCTACGTTTGGTGGAACCAATTGGATAAAGATATTGAAGATCTTGTAGCTAAATGTGAACATTGTCAATCAGTTCGGCCAGATCCCAAAAGAGTTTAAACACATTGTTGGGCTAAACCACATAAACCGTTTGAACGAGTCCATGCTGACTACGCTGGTCCCTTTATGGGAAAATATATTTTCGTACTTGTAGACGCATTCAGTAAATGGCCGGAAGTACATATTGTTCCAAACATAACCACAAAGACAGCCATTCAAAAATGTCGAGAAATATTTGCACAACTGGGTATACCAAATATATTCGTGAGCAACCACGGTACGCAATTCAATTCAGCAGAGTTTGCAAAGTTTCTTAAGGAAAACGGTATAGCACATAAACAAGGCGCCCCGTACCACCCCGCAACAAATGGCCAAGCAGAGAGGTATGTGCAAACTATTAAAAATATGTTATTAGCATCCAAATGCACATCAAGTACGATGAACAGAGAATTAGAAAAAATATTGATTGCCTATCGCCGCGCCGTGCATCCTGCTACGGGTAAATCACCTGCAATGCTAATGTTGGGTCGTCAGATGCAAACACGACTTGACTTATTTCTACCAAATAATGATGTCAATTATAATGCACCATTTAAGATAATCAAACATTTCAATATAGGCGACAGAGTATCAGTTCGCGATTATCTTTCTGGGGTCAAGTGGAAATTTGGTGTGGTGGAGGAGAAAGTCGGTGACTTACATTATAAAGTCAAGCTTGATGATGGTAGAACTTGGAAAAGACATGTGGACCAAATAAGAAGAAACAGTGTAAATTTAGAAGTCCCTAATACAGAACGAGATGATGTTATGATTGCGAAACATGCTAAACCGGGAGATAACATAGACAGATCTACAAATATGGGTATTCCACAGTCTGTAATACAAACTCCTACATCAAACCTAGTTGAGAATCCACCTACAGCTGATGCTGATGTTTCACAGCCGGAAAACCAATCGGAATCAGCCTCCACATCTGTCGAGCTGAGACGTTCTGGAAGACAACGCAAAATACCTTCACGATACACTGACTGATTTGACAACACCATATTATCAAAGAAAAATAAATATTTTATAAATCGAAACAAATTAAAATAAATACAAAAAATAAAAATATTAGAAATATTTACGTATAAAATAATATATATTTTCGATGTATTTCAATATTCAATTTAATAATGAATACATTTCATTTTAGGAGGAGAAAAATGATATATATTTGAACACATATGAAAATGAATTGTCAAATTAGTACACGAATAAGTGGGAACATTAAAAAGTTCAAAGTTACAAATGTCATACAAATACAATAAACGAATCATCCTTCTTGTGTGACTTCAAACCGTGTTTTAGTTATGACACCATGTTAGTTGGCTTTGCCGTAATTCAGAAATGTGCGCGTATCCGGCTCCATAAAGTCGCTAAGTTTCTCCACGAAGATCACTATGGAGATGTGATCTAAAGCAAGGGCCACATGTGTATGTGGCTATAAGCGACGAGCTGGAGCGGTTGGCCACACAATGTGCATTAAAGTCGCCAATGAATTGTCAATGGTCGCCAATGGTTGTTTGAGGTTTGGGGATGTGCAGTCACTTATGTGGCTGCAGCACTCTGAGACCGATTAGGTACGTTCTGATCATCCACGAGAAGAGATACAGTGAAGAGAAGAGATGAAGACAGATCTGTAGGGGAGAGAAGATTGGGGGAATAAAGGGAGATGAGAAGCTTACAGAAATAAATAAAATTGGAATAAAGGTCGATGGCTATAGGAATCAGACAGAAGCAGTGTTACCGCTGGGAATTTTTAAAAAGTTGCACAAAAAGTCATTTTCATACAAAAAAGTCGCACAGAAAAGTCAGAATTTCAATAAAAAGTCGCATAGATTAATTTTGAAGTTTTTTATTCAAACGAAGAACATAAAACATAAAACTAAATAACAATTCAAAAAAAAGGAATACAAAATTATCAATTATTATAATTTAATTTTTTTGAAACTTCGTTTCTGTATTTTTGTACAAGATCATCCCTGGGATTCCATTCCTCTATTCCTACATCTAGCAAATTTAAAGCTGATGGCATGGACCCTCAAGTTGTTACATTTAATTAAACTTGTTTTCATTAGTTTAAACTTGTTTTCATTAGTCCTAATTTAGAAAAAAATTCTTTCCGTAGAAGCGTTGCTGTGGGGCATATGCGGCAAAATTGTATAGATGTAAATACAAAGGTTCGTTTAAAGCATTTTTAAACTACCTATAATAGTATGCCAAAAAATCTCAACATTTGTATACCCTTCACCACACTGTGGTACAGGGTATTATGTATTTGTGCATATGTTTGTAACAGGCAAAAGGAAATGAGATAGACACATGGTTCTTTTTGAGAATATGCATAGAATCACTTTCTGAGTCGATTTATGCATGTCCTTCCGTCCGTCTGTTGGTGTTAAATTGTAAACAAAGTACAGGTCGCATTTATAATCCGAATTGGATGAAATTTGGCACAGCTCATTTATTTGGCCCAAAGACGAACACTATTGGAATTGGAAAACATCGGTTCAGATTTAGATATAGCTCCCATATATATTTTCCTCCGAATGATGCACCCAAGTCCCTATATATCTTTCGATTTGCACGAAATTTGGCACAACGTACTGAATTGAGCCTAGAATGATGTCTTCTAAGTTTCTTGAAAATCGGTTCAGATTTAGATATAGGTCCCATATATAGTTTCGTCCGATTTTTATCTAAATGGTGCACCAAAGACATACTAAATACATGGCATACTGAATTGAACCTTGAGTGATGTCTGCCAAGTTTCGTGAAAATCGGTTCAGATTTAGATATAGCTCCCATATATAGTTTCGTTCGATTTTATGTAAATGGTGCACCAAAGTCCCCATAAATCTTTTGATTTGCACGAAATTTGATATAGCGTACTGAATTAAGACTAGAATGATGTGTGTGAAGTTTCGTGAAAACCGGTTCAGATTTAGTATAGCTCACATATATATTTTCGCCGATTTAATGTAAATAATGCACCAAAGCCCCTATTTATTTTCCGATTGGTACGAAATTCGGCATAACGTACTGAATTAAGTTTAAATGTTGTGTGTTATGTTTAGTGAAAATCGTACGGCGACGTCTACAAATTATACAAATAGAAATTAATTTGAATTTGAACGGCATGTACTTTTGAACTTTTACTTTTTACTTTGACATATATGTGAAATACTGTACACTAAATCTGGTACATTATGAATGCACTATACCAAATAAAAAATAATAGAACTTATATTGTTGATCAATAAAAAAGGCGCAACAAGGTTGCACAAAGTTTAAAAAGTGGCAAAATTAGAAGATAATAAAAAAGTTTCACATATAGTCACAGGTCATCAAAAAGGTTGCAAATTGCGACTTTAGTCGCACAACGGTAACCCTGGACAGAAGATGTGTTACGTGTCAAGGTTGTACGTTCCTAACCACTTTAGGTTTCTAATTATGCTGTAGATTAGAGCAGGTACGGTTGTTGAGAAGAAGCTGAGACTCGGTAGAAAATGAGCAACCACTAGTCTGTGCCGCCTGTAAGCCAGGGCTGGGCCTTGACACAGGAGATGCTCAATTGTCTCCGTCTCCTCCTCGTCAACACAGAGTCTACAGTAATCAATTGCATCAAGATCCAATTTATTAGTAAAAGCCCTGATATTGCAGTGACCAGTGATGATTCCTGTCATTACCCTAATTTCAGCTTTGCTCAGGTTCAACAGTGAGTGCGCTCTTTTGATAGACAGAGTCGGCCAAATGGATCTTGACACGTTGCACCTAGGTTCGTTGTGCCAAAGTTCATAGGCTCTTTCGTCGAAGAATGCCTCAAAGTTCCGGTAAAAATGACATGGGTGGTTTGGTTGAGTCATCAGTTGCTAGATCGGTGGATGGTTACCCAAGATGTCACAATGTCCTGGTACCCAGCACAACCGATAGCTGTAAATACTACCATGCCCAAAGGTACAGTTTCGCCAGAGATTTTGTTCATGAGGCGCAGATAGTTCCACCACGCAAGGGACAGGATGGGCCTTACCACAGTGTTATACAGCCAGTGTATAGTCGATGGTTTTAGCCCCCAGCTTTTCCCAATGGAGTTCTTGCATGCATAGAGCCCAATGCGACAGCGTCAGTAAGGCTATTTGCATAAGCTCCGAGATGTTTGATCACCACGTCGTCGGCATAAGCTACAACTTTGATACCTTTCCCGTCCAGTTCCCTCAGTATAATATTAATTACCAATAGCCACAGTAACGGCGATAGCATCCCTCCCTAAGGTGTGCCTCTAGTTTCCGTTTTCCTGATTTTTGTATCCCCCACAGTTAAATTTATAATTCTGCTGTTAAGAATTTTATCTATCCAATACGTAAGGGTATAAGGAATGCCAACATCTTTAAGTGAGTGGTTTATGTATTCAAGTTTAACGTTGTTTAACGTCTCTATATCTAGGGAGGCGGCCAGTGTAAAATTTGAATTTTCCATATTCCTCTCAATGTAGCCTACCACCTCGTGCTGTGCAGATTCTACGGACTTGCCCTTTATGTATTCGTGTTGTGAGTTGCTAAGAGAGGTGGTATCTATGCGACTCCTAATCTCCAGGTCGATCAGTCTTTCGAGAGTCTTGAGGAGAAAGGATGATAAGCTAATGGGTCTATAGTCCTTTGGTGCAGAGTGGCTTGGTTTCCCTGCTTTGGGAATGTAAGTAGCCTTCACCTCATTCCATAGATCCAAAACATACGAGAGAGTCAAACACGCGAGAGGATCTATACTCTCAAGGATAAGATATCTCACTCTTGTATTTGTTGAAACTAGCTCTATAGGAGTTCCAAATCAATTTCGAGTTTAGATTTATGCGCCTAGTTGTACAATCGTCTGGTCGCTTTTCTGAGCTCACCAAGTTTCTTGTCCCACCACACTGGCTGAGATTTCTTCCCAGGGTATGTGAGCGGACAGGATTCCTTATGGCATCTAAGGAGAACGTCCGTTAGATTGTTCACGGCCCCATTCAGTTCCACAGCTGTTCCTAAGTTTGTATTAAGAGTCAGCTTGAAGTTCGTTAGCTCCGTGAATTTCTCCCAGTTTGTTCCCCATGGATTCCGATAAGGCTGTTGTTTACCTCCGTCAAATAAGATCTCGAAGAAAATCTTTAAATGACCCGAAAAGGAACATTCATCAGATACCCTCCAATTTGTGATGACGGAGTCATCTAGATTTGAGAGAGTTAAGTCAATGACCTCCACTCTATCCCTAATTTTAAATTTTCATAAATATATGACTCCTGAACCAACGCGTTGTCCACTTCAGAGTTCGTGAGGGACAGGAGTATTTCGGCGGCTGCGGCCTTGCAATGATGCAGATTGATCTGCAGGATGCGCAGCCTATGCCGCTTCCCTACTCCTATTGAGTTTCGGTGGACGTGTTCAGTTGAAACCGAACCCATCCTGAACCGAAGTTCAATTTGCCCTCACGCTCCCTAGGATACTTCTCCCCTGGTGGGTCAACCGCAACTCTCGCAACCATTCCAACATCCTCGTTACAGGGAACCCAGACTGAAAGGACCCGTCTGTTTGGGATTTCACATAGGGAGACCGCAGCAAGGTTGGCTCTTTCCCAGAGCGCGCCAAAGCCGTCAACGGTTTTCACTAGGAAATCCTTAGATTTCTTGTTTAGACAGTTGATGACTTTGGCACCCTTCTGCATGCACTACCAAACTGACGATCCCCTTGGCCTGGCCCAAAGACGATAGCCGAACGAAGGGCTCCTTCAAAGAGCAACCAATGGCTTTCACTGATTCTGCCATGAGGATCAGATTTGTCATTGATTGCCACTAGAAGGTCTTCTTCAGCGGCTACCTTGGTTGGTCTGTCATATGGCTTACGCTGTCTTTGGCTACGAACTTCGGAGTTCGCCTTTCCAGAGGAGGTTGATGCCTTCTCTGTACTTAGCTGTTTCTTCGCCGTTTGTTGTCCAGCGACAGCCGCATATGAGGTAGAAGG